TGCAAATTCCCTGGATCACCACTGCGAAGGGATCCATGTCTATGGACATGGCTGGAATTTTAAATATCTCTGAGAAAAAACAGGAGGATGACCAGGATAATTTTCCAAAGGGAACAGAAGTCTGTAATGAAAAGAAATAGACGATAATGAAACCTGCAGAAATAATTGTTAACTAATCCTTTTAATGATTTAATTAATAATTTTTTTCTTTCCCAAAACACCTGAAGAAGCCCATTGATTATTTTTTTCCCACAAGATTGGAGATTTTTTTTTAATTGGCTTTGCAGCAATGAAGTGCCAAAACCCAGATCCCTCCTGCTCTTTGTCCCATGGTGCCTCCACAGCCGAGGATCCATCAGAAACTCATTTTCCATTAAATCCCACACAACTTTGTGAGGAAGAGCATGTTTTTCCTTGGATTTTGCTGCTTGGTATCTTTAACATTTAACCGTTCCATTTTCTATAGAAAAGATACTTTTGAGTCTAATTTTGGATCCTTCTTTCCTTGTCCCAGGGAGGAGCCAACATGTGTTGTCCTGATCCCAGAAGTTGGGAAGGATCCTGCTCCATATCCACAGCCGGAATAAATCGGCATTTTTCCCTTGAAGTTTTGGAAGTGGCTGATTTAGAGCAGCTGGAGAGTTGGGCCAAAAGTGGGAATTGGCTTTTTTTGGGACCTGAAATTCCTATAGGAAACAGGGATAAGATTGGGCAAGCACCCCATGGAATTCGGGAGCGGGAATTTTCATCCAGGTGGGAATTCCCATTTTTCCCTTTATTTCTGTGCCTCCCAGCAGCTTCTCAGGAGGAAAACCCCTCTCAAGGTCCCACCTCATCCGTTTTTCCACGTGGATCCAACACCTTCCCTTCTCCCTTCCCTTCCTGTTTCATCCACTCTTGTGTTGATGGAAAAACTGGGAAGATCTGGCAAAAAATTGGGAGTAAAATTGAGATTTCCTCTAAATTCCCCATCTGTTTTTTTGCTGTTGTTGGATTTTTTTTTTGTTTTGTTTTTTCTTTTTATTTAAATCATTTTCCTTTTATTTTTAAACAGTTTTGTATTTTTCTCCTATAATTATCTTGGAAATGCCAAAGCCTTTTGGAAAGCTTGGAATTTCTGTTTTTAACTGGGTTCGCTAAAGGGTGAGGAGCAGATGTGGTTTGGAGATGGTTTTCCTCATCCAACATCTGTCAAGAACATCTGGGCCTGAGAAACCCCCCAAAAAATCCTCATTTTTGGGTTGCAGATCTACTAACAACACTTTTTTTATGCTCTCAAGCTGTGGCCATCACCCAATTCCAAGAGCAGAATTCCTCAGTGGGAAAAGTTGCACAACAATTTTTGGTTGGAATGGGAACATCTTTGGCGTGTCAAGCTCTCGTTTAAAGACGTCTGGAGACCTTCCAGGGATGTTTTTGAAGTGAGAATTGGAGTTTAAAATCCCAAATTAATTTGATTTTTATTTTGAGCAGAAATCCCAAAACGTTCCAGAGGGGGAGAAATCAAACATCTGGAAACTGATACTTTTTTTTTTTTCCCCAAATAATTGAATTTTAATAGCCCACAACAATATTCCATGGGAATTGGTCACTTCTCCCAGGTTTTTGTTTTCCTTGGAAAAAGGGGGTTCACATTCCCTCTCCAGTCTCCTTTACCTGAGGGGGAATGTGGTAAAGTGCAGGAAAAGGAAGGAAATCAGGAGATAATCTCTTCCAGGTCCCTTTTCCATGAAATGTGGCTCCAGAGATTTTGAGGTCCCTTCCAACCTGATTCCAGCAGACGTTCCAGCATTCCATTCCAGGGGACAGCCAGATTATCAAGGATCATGAGGCACCGTGGCAGCATTCCCAGATTTCAGTGATTCAGATTTTATCTGGAATGTTTTGTTTTCACTTCAATCCCAATTTTCTGGTCCTTAAACCCAGTTGGTGTGGGGTTTTGGGCTTATTTTTGGGTTTTGTGGGAAATGTCTTGCTGAGTGGCCTGGAGAAAGTTATCCTACCCTGCAGATCCAGGGAATTTTAGACAATTCCCAGCTATCCCAGTTTCTCCTATGGGACTCCAGAATAACTTCTTGGCACAGAAAAGTTGAGGAGGAATCTCCACCCTCTGCCCCAAATTCATTTGAAGGAAAAGGGATTTTTGGGCAAGTTTGGGGGTTTTTGGGAGCTGCTGGGATTCCAGGGATCTTCCTGGAAGAGATGGATGAAGGATTTAGGAAAAGATTGGGCTGTTAGCAGAAGGATTTGCAGGGCACTGGAATATCTTGTATCCATGGAATTGGTCCAATAAGAGGTTCGGTGCCTGCAGGGATTAAAAATCCATCAGGTGCTTCCCTGGTTTGGGTGGCTTTTGGATATTTAAATAAACTTAAGAAATTTTGGAATCTTGGAATGGTTTGGCTTGGAAAGGACCACTGGACCATCCTCTTCCAATCTGTGGGCTCCAAGTCTTGTCCAGCCTGGCCTTGGACACTCCCAGGGATCCAGGGGCAGCCCCAGCTGCTCTGGGAATTCCAGCCCAGCCCCTCCCCACCCTCCCAGGGAAGGAATTATTCCCAAATCCCGTCTATCCCTGCCCTCTGACTGTTTCCTGTGAAATCCACCTTTGGCCGTCCACAGATCCTCACCAATGAACTCCCCAAAAAATCCATGGGATTGCCCTGGGTTGAGAAGAGGAATGGACAGGAGGAAACAGAATCAAATCCCAAAGGATTTATCTGGGATTTTAATCCAGAATTTTCCAATCCAAGCAGAAGTGACTTCCCATAAAATGTCAGGAAACGAGACATTTTGGATGTTGACAAAAGAGCGAAGGATAATTCCTGAATATTCTTTACTGCAAATAAATAAAAATATTACGGAGAAAATATTGGATAATCCAGAATTTGGTCTGAAAATCCAACGGAGGTGATTTCCAGCCCTTTTTCCGGACCATCTTTCCTATTATTTATTTTTAGTCGGAAAAAAGCTGAGGGCGAAGAAAACAATCCCAAAAAATCAGCCGACCTCCCAAGTGTGGCTGATATGTGGGATTTGGGAGAAAAAGGAAATCTGATTTATGGGATTTGGGACAGAAGGGAAATCTGATTTATGGGATTTGGGACAGAAGGGAAATCTGTCTTTCCCAGTTTTTCCGGGCTCCTCTTGTCTGGCAGAGGTGGAGATGACGATCCCGAGCTGCTGCTGGGATCCTGATGGCATCTCAGTGGCCTGATATTTTCCAGGCCTGTTTTCCACTCGGGAATGCATCCTTCTGGCTTTTTAAATGTGTAAAACCTGTCCCTGTGGCTACAGCCGGTCCCAGATCCCAAATAGATTTTTCACTGGAATTTTGCCGCTCTAAATGAGCAGAATCCAAAATTTCCTGCACGTGTGTTGATCCCAGAAATGTGGATTGAGGAATGAACATGGTGAAATAAATCCTTGGGATTTCTTGGGATCTGTGAAAACTCCCCCAGTTCTCCAGCCACGACTCATTCCAATGTAGGAATTAAAGTGGGAAAAACTTTTCCAGGACATGAAAACAAGAAATGATTCCTGTTATTTTTGTTATTTTTCCCAATCCCTGGGAGTTTTCCAGGCCAGGCTGGAATACCCTGGTCTAATGGAAGGTGTCCATTAGATAAATGGGATAAATGGGATAAATGGGATAAATGGGATAAATGGGATAAATGATCTTCCAGGAGCCTTCCAACCCAAACCATTCCATTGACTCAGTGATCCCATGCTTCTGTTTCTTCCCAGGGATATCTCCACTGTGCAGTTTGTAGGGATCCCTTCCGATCCCAAAAAACCTTCCTGTCCTAATTCCTAATTTGGGACAGAAAATGGGGAAATGGGAAAGAGGAATCTGCAGGAAAACCTTTCCAGTGGGGCTTTGCATTCTGAAGGAAATCCGGGAAGAGGGGGGATCCAGGAAAAGCAGATGGAGGGGGTTTGGATTGTGAATATCCAGGATGACATCAACAGGAACTCCAAGAGATTTACCAATCAACTGGTATTTATTGGAATTCCAGCCTGGATCCCCTCACAAGTACACTGTGATTTGGTGGGTGGCTACCTTGTTCTGGGTTTTTGGGAAAATACAAATTATCCAAGGAATGTGCAAATGCCCCTGTGTCAAATGATCCTCCCGGTACAGAAAAATGACCTGGAAATGGAAAATACCCTGGAAAAATGACATAAATCTGGGAATTATTCCCTGCATTTTGTTTCGGGGGGAAGCGTTATCCAGTCCAAGTGTGTCTGTGATTAGGAAAGCTCCAAATGGACGCTCTTATCTCAGTCCTTGGGACGGGAATTTGGCACTTGAGTGCCTAAAAAGGCCTGGAAAATCCAGGATGAGGATGCACTTCCAGCGCTGCCCCTTCCCTGTGGGGCTGTGTTCTCCCTGCCCCTGGATGCGTTTTCCTCAAAGCAATCCTGGTTTTTGGGCCCCTTCCCAGGAGAAGGGCAGCGTGTGATCCGAGACGGGAATTCTCCCTGTGCCAGCTGACACGGCGTGGATGCTTGAGCTTCCCTAAAGCTGCATCCTCAGCTCTAAATATAAACCTGGGCTTATCTTTGCGTGACAAAGGCCAGGGGGGCCATCCAGCCTGGAAAAGTGAGCTGGGAATGTCACTCAGGAGCTGGGAATGTCACTCGGGATGGCCCTGGCAAGGACCAAACCCATCGGAGCACCTGGATCGTAACCCAGCCCGCCCCTTGTCCCTGCACAGCAAAAATGTTTGAGCCGGCGCCAGGCTCGGCCTAAACCCCCCAAAATCTCTTTTCCATGGAAGTGTTAATTGGGAACAATGCCGGATCCAAAATAGCCGGGGCCAGTCTTGTCCTTTTATAGCCGTGGCCCCATTGTGAGCGGCGGCATGTGACAGGTCTGGGAGGGACAATGCGGCACTTCCAGAGGGGATAAAGACCCACCCCAGCCCGGGATTTTTCCTGCAGCAGCTCCTCTTTCCTGCCTTTCCCACCCTCTCTGCCTCTCCTTCCCAAATCTGCCATGGCTCCCAAGAAACCCGAGCCTAAGAAGGCCGAGCCTAAGAAGGAAGAGCCCAAACCAGCGCCTAAGCCAGCGGAACCAGAGCCCAAAAAAGAAGTGGAATTTAACCCAGCTTCGGTCAAAGTAGGTGGATTGATGCTGTGGTGGAGATGGATAATGGGAATTATCCTCAAAAATTTACTGGGAATTGGGTTTGTGCCGAAATGTGTGTGTCTCTTGAGGGATACACACTGCAAGGATTTCTTTGTGAGGCATTGTCCTTTGGGGAAAAGAATTGTCCTTTGGGAAAGGGCATTGCCTTTGGGAATTGTTCTTTGGGAAAAGGTATTGCCTTTGGGAATTGTCCTTTGGGAAAGGGTATTGCCTTTGGAAAAAGAAGAGGAGGTTTGCAGGATCTCTTTTTAGTGGGAATTGGAGCAGACATTCACAGAATCAGGGAATCACAGAATCCTGGAACAGTCTGGAATAGGACAGACCTTAAATCCCATCCCATTCCATAGGCAGGGACACCTTCCACTATCCCAGGGTGATCCAAGCCCTGTCCAACCTGGCCTTGGACACTCCCAGGAATCCAGGGGCAGCCACAGATTCTCTGGGAATTCCATCTCAGCCCCTCCCCACCTTCCCAGCCAGGAATTCCCAATTCCCAATCTCCCACCCATCCCTGCCCTCTGGCAGTGGGAGCCATTCCCTGTGTCCTGTCCCTCCATCCTTGTCCCCAGTCCCTCTCCAGCTCTCCTGGAGCTCCTCCAGGCCCTGGAAGGGCTCTGAGCTCTCCCTGGAACCTTCTCCCTTCTCCAGGTGAACATTCCCAACTGATCCATATCCCCCGATTCTCAAAGAGCAGTTTCTCCTCAGGAAAACATGGGAATTATGTGAGAAAGGGAATAAGTTGCTTTGTCTCATTGATTAAATCCTTCTTCTCCTCCACATGGGACCAATCCCACAGCTCAGGATTCAGGACAAATCCTGGAAGGGAGTTTTCCTGCCTTGAATCCCAAATTCCCTGTAAATCTTTATATATTGGTGAAAAAAACCAATGATTTGTAGCATATCAAGAAATCAAGTCCCAAGGAATTCAGTTCTGGGGAAGTTTTGAAGGGAATAACTCCAGAACAATTCCATGACCTTGGGAAAGGGGTTTGTGATGGGATCCAGTTCTCTCCAACAGCTCCGTGCCCGACATTCCAGAGCTGAAAAAGGACAGGGACAAAGGGAATGACTTCCCTTGGAGGCACAGGGAGCTCCAGCTAGGACACCGTGACTTTGTGGGAATATCCACTGGGATTCTGGGACATTGTGGGATCAAGGGCAGCAAGGATGAGTTGTCATTAAAAAAACCCCAAACCCAAAATGGCATCACCCAAAAAAAAATAAATCTTCATTTTTTAATCAAAACAATTCCATGTTCCACCTAATTTTTTTATCTTGAAAAGAAATTAATTCCTACATTTAAAAAAAATTACTCTGCACAATTATTTGGGAAAATTCTTATTTTTCATGTAAATGTTTATTTTTTTCCCCTTTGGCACACTTTGGAATTTCGAAGGTTCCATATGTTATATTATGTAAATTGTAGGGTTCTTTTAGTGCCATTTTGAAGGTGCTTAAAGTCTGTATGGAATTCCCAAATAATAAACAAATCCCAATCCCTGCAGGGAATATCCCATTCCCAAATCCTGGATCAGGGAAATTGGGAAATACAGAATTGGAGTCTGGGGCATTTTTCCCCCAACTTCATAGAAAAGGGAGAGGATATTTCCTACAGAAATTTTTTTTGGGAATTCTTTAATTTGATAAGTAATGCCCTTGTCTGTCTGTGCAAATTCCTGCTCCATAAATCCAGCTCTGCTGGAGCCCAGAATCCCTTCCCAATGTTTGGAAAAATGCTTTAATGAGGGTTGGAATTCTTCAAACATCCCAATTTCTGCACTGCAGGGTGAAATCCATTCTCATTTCCACAAACTATGGATAAAAAAAGTTGGAAAAGCAACCTTGTATCCAAACAAAATGTTCAAAATCTATCTTTTTATGGGAATGTCTCAAGTTATTTCTATTTATTCCCAGATTTTATTGGTTGTGTTTGGAATTTTGAGACTTTTTTTTTTTTTTAACCACTAAAACGTCTCAAAATCAAAATATTCCTTCGGTAGGGAAAGGTGCTCCTTGTTGGAATTTTCCTGCCTTTCCCAGTCCTGGTAATGATCTCAGGATCTTATTTTGCACCTGGAATTATATTGGATTTTCCCTTTTTTTTTCTCTCACCTTTGGATGCTCCTGGTCTCTTTTTTTTTGGATGCCAGTTCCAGGGGCCTAAATGTGGGATCCATGCCTTACCTAAAGCCATTATCCCAAATTTTTTGAGCTTCTCTCATGCATGTTCCCATTGGATTTGATCCAATGCTTGGAAATTTTCAACATTCCAAAGATTGCCCAAATTTCCAAGAGTGCGTGCAATTGGATGTTGTTTGCAATTCATCCAAATGAGGTTTCGGGGGATTTATTTTCCAGAAGAGTTGGGCTCATTCCTTGGAAAGCATTTTTTTAAGGAAGTGTTTTCTGGGATGATCCCTGAACTCTTTATTTTGAGGAATAAATTGTCCTACAAGGATTTGGTAGCAAAAAATTGTCTTTTCCTTAAACATTTAATTCATTCCCACCTGGAAGCTTTTTAATAGGGAGGTGCATTTTCCCAGGAATATATTTTGCTTCTGTGAAAAATAATCTGAAAAATGGGATTGATTTATGGTTTTTGAGGACACGGAAAGTGGGAACGGCTCCTACAGCTTTAACCATGGGAAAATGGATAATTGGAATTAAATCCGCAATAATGATCAGGGAGAAAATCTCTGGAAGTTCATCCCTTGGGATGGTGCCAAATTCCTATATCTGGGTGGGCTGAGTCACCCCTGGGAGCCGCTGAGCTGGGATAAAGGGAGATGAGAGGGGAATTTGGGAATTTGGGCGCCAGCATTTCAGTGGCTAAAGTTGGACAAGGTGACGTTGCTCCAGGTCTGGTGACTGGGATAAAAATCCACGTGGAGACAGCTGGGATACGTGAGGACCTGGAAGAGACACGGTTTTCCGTAGAGAGTTTTCCATGTTTTCCACACTTTCCTGGGGAAAAAGCAGCCAGGAATTATTTTTGGGGGCACACTGGGATCTCAAGGCAGTGTGGAATCTGTTGTCCCTGCAAAGCCCGGCTGGGATACTGGAATGGAAAAGTTTCTTCCCTTTTTATGCATGGAAAGGTGGAAAAGCAGCAGAGGGAAAACCGGGATGGTGGAGCACCAGGAATGGTGAGTCCTGCTGCATTTTCCTGCTCAGCTCCAGAGCTTGGAGTGTTCTACGGGCAGAAGGGCAGCACGTCAGGCTGGGAAAAGGGAAGCTTCTCTTGGGATGAACGGGTTGGTTTTGGGAGAGATGGGTTGAATTGTTCAGTTCAATCCCGCCTCAGGGGTGGGATAATTCCGACTGCCGGGACCCATCAGGAACTCTCTATCCTCAGGAACTTCCAACTCCTGAAACATCAAACTCCTTAAAAATCCAGCTCCAGAACCTGGAGCTCTTCAATATGTCCCTGGAACTGTCCTGAAAAATAAGCAGGAATGATCTGCCCAAGAGGCACTGGGATAACGGGGTAACAGAATAGTGGGATAAAGGGATAACGGGATAACGTGGTGACAGGAGAACTCTGCATTTATTTCCCAACTCTGGCAGGCACAGCATTCCCAAAATAATTCCTCTCTTACCCGGTCCCACTTCCAAAGGGGCCAAAAACTTCCCTGTGGAAAATGGTAGAATCCCAGAAGTTTTGGGTTGGAAGGGACCTTAGGGATCATCCCATTCCAGCCCTGCCATGGCAGGGACACCTCCCCTTGTCCCAGGCTGCTCCAAGCCCTGTCCAACCTGGCCTTAGGCACTGCCAGGGATCCAGGGACAGCCACAGCTGCTCTGGGAAATCCTTTCCAGTCCTTCCCACTCTCTCAGCCAGGAATTCCTTCCCAGTATCCCATCCATCCCTGCCCTCTGGAATTCTAAGAGCAGACAGAAAATGAGGAAATTATTTTGCGGGGTTTTTATGCAGCAGCAACCTCTGCATGATCTTGACAAAGATTCTGCTTCATATTCCTGTTCCTGAAGTATTTTGCTTTGGAATTAAAGCTGCAATTAAGGGTTGAATTCTGTTTTTACTTCCCTTTCCTTCGGAGGGCTGGAGCTGTTGGAGACTGGATCAATGTTCCTCCCAGGGCACTGGAGGAGATTCTATCCATCATAATTACTGTGGAAAGTGATGGGAAAGGGGATGATGAGAATGTTGTGTATTAATAGGATTAAAAAGGTTTTAGTGGAAGAAAAAACCCCACATGATGATGAAGTCCAAATGTAACCTCAACCCCAGGATCCTGATGGTTTTCCTGGCCTCTTTCCAGCTCCTGCATTTCTGTCTCCTGAAGCTGTGTCCCGAGGGAACAGTAAAAAAAACCCCAAAACAACAACAATAAAAACCCCAACCAAACAAACCCCCCTCAAAAAACCTCACAAAAAACCCCAAGCACCCCCAAAACCCCAGCAAAATAAATAAATGAAAAAAAAAAAAAAAAATCCAACCTCCTCTTCCTCCCAAACTATCCCTGCCATGGCCGAGTGAAACTCCTGCTGCTCATCCCCGGATCCCTTGGTGTCCTGTGAAAAACCAGGAATGTTGTTTCATGCTTGGAAGGGCTCCATTGTCTAAATCCTTCCCCCGGCTCAGCTCCTGACCGCTGGGTGACAACAGATTTATTCATAGGACTGATGTCAGGCTTAGCTGTGCCTGGCTTAGTGCGGAGTGACGGAGTTTATTGGGATGATAAAAAATTCCAGGAGGTTGGAAGTTGTGAATGACATCAGCGGGGCTGAGGGTGGAGTTAATCCCTCCTGGAGCCAGGACAAAACCAGGGAAAGAATCCAGCAGAAGGATCCAGCTGATACCATCAGGTGATGGTTCCCTAAAGCCAGGATTGCTGGAGATGAGGAAAGCTGGAATCATGCTGCTCGAAAGGTTTGGATTTGGAGGTTGGATATCCTCATGGAATGTCTAGAGTTGCCTCTACATCAGAGCAGGACAAAAATGGGGATTTCTCTGTCTCCCATTTGGATTTGGACCAAACTTCACCACTGGGATCCTTGGGGAGAGGGAGGCGTGGATGGGAATGCCCTGGCTTTAAAACCTCCATTCCCAGTGGAAAAAAATGCCAGGAAAACTCAGTTCTTCTGAAGAAGATCCCTTTTGCCGGGATATTTCCCACAACCAAAATCCCTAGGGAAGCCATCCTAGCGTCCTTCCAAGGAAAAGGGGAACGCGGAGTCATGGACTCATTTAGGGTGGGAAAGTCCTCCAAGTTCATCAGAGCCAACAATTAATCCAGGATTACTATCATTGTCCCCAGGTGCCACATCCACATGGATCTTAAATCCCTCCAGGAATGGGGCCTCCAGCTCTGCCATGGGCAGCTGTGCCAGGCCTGCTCAGCCTTTTCTGGGAAGATTTTTTCCCAATATCCAACCTGAACCTCTCCTGTGACCAAGGTCAGGCTGGGCAGGGCTTGGCGCAACCCGGGGTAGTGGGAGGTGAATCCTTCACGGACCTCCCAAAACCCAGGATCATAAAACTGAGACTAAACCCATTTTGTCTTATCTGAGTAATTTCCCCCCTTCTTATCTGTTTTCTTATCTTGTTTTTGTCTCATCCAGGTGGAATTCAGCCCTGACCAGATTGAAGGTGAGGAAGATTTTTCTCTCCTGGGCTCAGTAAATCCATCCCTGGGAAGTGCTGGGATGAGCAGGGCTGGGATATTGGAATAACTTTGGGAAGGCTGAGCTTTAAATCCTGGCTTTTCTTCCTTTCCTCCTCTAAATCCTTCCCTCCAAAAGAAAAGCAGGGAATTCGTGTCCCATTTCCGAGAGTTGTACCCCCAAACCAGCCAAAATACAGGTTTTTCTTTAGGAAAAACCCATCAGTATCAATATTTTCAAAGGAAAACCCTCAACTCTGCTTCAGATAATTTTTCCTGCCTTCCATCAGAACGTAACGTGTTCCCGCTCTCCCGAATCCAGCAAATAATGCCAGGCATGGAATTTCTTTATCCTTTCAAAGCCAAACATCAGCATCAGTTTCCAAACCCTTTGTCCCAGCACAGGAAACTGATCCCAAAACCTCCTGCCTGAAGTCCTGGGAATGCTGGGACTGCAGCTGTCCCCTTTCTCCTCAAAATCAGCCTGGGTTTTATGGGATAATTGATGGATGGAATCAAACATCTGGCCGGATTTGCCTTTGGTCTTTAAACCCTTGGGAGAGCCCCTAAAAGATGGGATCAGGGAAGGGATTAATTAGAGCAGGGGGAAATCAGTCAGAGAGATGTTTAATTATCGCCTCCCTTTGTGTTTCCCTGCTGACCCGAGGAGGATCCAGGGGCCTCAGGAAGATTGGATGTTTCCCAATTTGTCAGCTGATCCCAAAGCTGACAAATTCCTTTGGAATTCCCTAAGGAATTCCATCCCTGGTCTATCAGCATCAATCGGGGTTCTGGCAGCTGATTCCCACTGGAGGTGGTGGAGGAGAAACAAGCTGCAGCACCTCAGGGGCTTTTAAAACTCCCCAAATTCCTTCTGTTTGCTAAGGAAAATGTTGTGTGGAAAAAAGGATTCCCTGGAAGGATCCATGGGTGTTTTGGTCCCCAAAATGTGGCTCCAGGAGAAGAACTGATGGTCTGGGCTGAAGCTTTGTGGAACACCCCCATTTTTATGTGTCCTGCTGCTTAGCCACGAGCAAAACCTGTCCCTGGTGGCAATGTCTGATTTGAACTCTGGGTTTGGGTCTCTTCAGCTCCCAGAATTGCTGGAAAATGGGAAAAGGAGCTGTGCCAGATGGGCAGAGAGGCAGTAATTAGGAATCTGAAAATATCCAGAGGGTTCCTGGCCAGAGGGAGGGCAAAGTTCAACGAGGTGGTTTTGGTGCTTGGATGGGAATTTCATGGAGTCAGCAAATGCAAATGAAAAGATTAAAATAGTAGGGGGAAAAAAAACCCAAAACAAACAACCCAAACCCCTGGAAATCTGAGCTGTCAGGAATTTTGCTGGATTGGGAATCTTCAGGAGATGGTGTTCAGCACTTGGTCCCAGGGAGTCAGAGAGTGGTGATGGATGAGGAGCTCAGGAAGGTGGGAATAATCCTCATTTTTCCTCACCCACCTCGGCTGCGAGACCCCCGGGAAAGGAGCTGGGAAGGGTCTCTGCCCCCATTCCACCGTCAGCAAGGAGCCCAGGAAAATCCACGATTGCCCTCTGCTGGAATGAGGGGCTGGAAAGGGATCGGGGCTCTGCCCAGGGACAGGAGGCAAAATCCAGGAGAGAGAGGCAGGGAGAGGGGGAAAGAGAGGAAAGTGGGAAGAGGAAAACAAGGGAATGTTAATTAGTCCCAAATGGGAAGGTTCAGTCTTGTTTGGAAGTGTTGGATGAAGAAGGAAATAAGGAAAATGGGAGTGGAATGATCAAAGTTGAAAGGGAGGGAGAAAGAAGGAGAGGAAAATCCAGCAAAAGTCAAAGAAGGAAGGACAGAGGGAAAGAAGCCAAGGAGGAGAAAGAAAAAAGAGGGAGCTGGAATGAAGAGAGGGGTTTGGGGAAGATGGAGAAAATCTGGGGTGCAGAGTGTGTGGCTGAATGAATCAGGATTTATGGAAAAGAGGAAAATATCCTGGAGTTTGGAAACGTGGGAGGGAAATAAAGGTGGAAAAGCAACATCAGCACAAGAGCCAGATCCAGGGATTTAAAGCCAAAGGGATTTTTGGGCTCAGTTGTGGATGGTGCACTGGGAAGTCAAGGATAACAGTGAAGTTAGAGGATTAAGGATAAAGTTAAAGGATAAAGGATGAAGTTAAAGGATAAAGGATAAAATTAAAGGATAAAAGATGAAGTTAAAGGATGAAGGATGAAGTTAAAGGCTAACAATAAAGGATAAGAGCCTGTTACTGCTGCTCCCTGGGATCCTCCTCTGACCCTGCAGTTCCAGCAGGGAAAGAAAAGCCTGAGGAACTGGAGTTCCTGGGGAAGTTTGGATCCTGCATGAGAACCACGGAATCATTCTATTTGGAAAAGATCCTTATGGAAAGATTCCTGATGGAAAAGATCAGTGGCTGGGACAATTGATCCCAACCCTTACCCACTCACTGGCAATGCCTTCAAGCACCACATCCACATGAAATCAGTGGTGGAAAGGAGAACCTCTCCCATGGGAATGCTCGGAGGAAGTCGTGAGGGACTCCATTGAGGGAGATGGGAAACCTCTGAAGGGAAAGGTTACAGCCCCACACCACAGATCCGGCCTGTTCCTATTCCCGAGGGAATAGCACACCCTGTTCTCTGGATCCAGCCCTGGAGGCACCTCTGGGGTGCTGTGTCCAGCTCTGGATCCTCAGCGCAGCAGGGACAGGAGCTCCTGGAGCTGAGGAAGGGCCTGGAACATCTCGGTGCCCAGGAAAGGCTGAGGGAGCTGGGGCTGCTCAGCCTGGAGAGAGCTCCAGTGAGAGGGGCCTGAGTCCTGGGTGTCCCTGGGTGTCCCTGGGTGTACCTGGGTATCTCTGAGTGTCCCTGGATGTTCACTGGGTGTCCCTGGGTGTCCCTGGGTGTCCCTGGGTGTCCTGGATGTTCACTGGGTGTCCTTGGATGTTCACTGGGTGTCCCTGGGTGTCCCTGTTTGTCCCTGGGTGTCCCTGGCTGTCCCTGGGTGTTCATTGGGTGTCCCTGCTGGTTGTCCCTGGATGTTCACTGGCTGTCCCTGCGTGTCCCTGTGTGTCCCTGGATGTTCACTGGCTGTCCCTGGATGTTCACTGGGTGTCCCTGGTTGTCCCTGGATGTTCACTGGCTGTCCCTGGATGTTCACTGGGTGTCCCTGGTTGTCCCTGGATGTTCACTGGCTGTCCCTGGATGTTCACTGGCTGTCCCTGTGTGTCCCTGGATGTTCACTGGCTGTCCCTGGATGTTCACTGGCTGTCCCTGTGTGTCCCTGGATGTTCACTGGCTGTCCCTGGCTGTCCCTGTGTGCAGGGAGGGTCAGAGCAGGGCCAGGCTGTGCTCCAGGGCCCAGCAATGGCACCAGAGGAATGGGCAGGGACAGATCCCAGGAATTCCCCCGGCACAGGAGGCAGAACTTCTGCCCTGGGCAGTGCCCAGCCCTGAGCAGAGACCAGACAGGCTGTGGGGTCTCCCTCACCGGGGATATTCCAGAGCTGCCAGGATGTAATCCTGAGCCCTGTGCTCTGGGATGGCCCTGCTGGAGCACGGAGGTGCCACCGACTGTCCCACTCTGGTCCCTTCCAACCCAACCCATCCTGGAATTCTGGGACAAGGTTTCCCAGACACCTTCACCCTTCCCCACCAATACACAGTTTGCTGGGTGATAATCCCACTGTTTTTTCCTGGCATAGCTCACTCCCAGCTCCTAGGGGTGCTCCTGGAGCTCCGGGCACTGGGTCAGTGCTCTCCAAGTATCCAGTGTTTGATCCAAGATCTGCTTCTCCCATCAGCAGAGCTGCTGTTGAATCCTGGGCCTTCCTGAGTCCTCCTGAGCAGCTGGAAAGCTCCCAAGGCCAGTGATTTCTCCTGTTTTCCACAGTTTCTGAAGTTAACTGAGACGGAAATACCACGGGAGAAGCATTTGACCTCTCCGATTCCATTCCCCTGGTGGAACCGGAAAACGCAGGGAAGGAGGAACACAAACACCAGAGATAACAAAGCTCATCCAAATTTTTCCCAAACCACAAAATGAAACGGTCAGGGCAGTCAGCGAGGGAAAGGTTTCGGTTGGGTTTATCTTTTATCCGAGGGAGCACGGAATGAATTTCTCCTGACCTTTTTCCCTTCCAGAATTTAAGGAAGCGTTTTCCCTTTTCGACCGGACCCCCAAGTCGGAGATGAAGATCACCTACGCCCAATGTGGAGACGTCCTGAGGGCTTTGGGGCAGAACCCGACCCAGGCTGAGGTCATGAAATTGCTTGGCAGGCCCAAACCTGAAGGTTGGTGGTCTCCCCTGTCTGTTTTGGGAACGGGCACTCCTAGAATAATTCCTGGAGAAGGTGAGGTCTCCCTGTTCTAAGTTCAGAGTAACTCAGGATACGGAGCAGCCTCTGAAATTGCCAGCAGAAAGGGAAGGGAAAATTGGTCTGGAAGTCAAGATAATTGTCCCAGATTGAGGGGAATTAATTAATTTAACAGCCCTGGGCATCAATGTGCTTTAAAATGACAAATTTTTTGCCTTTAAAAATTGCGTTAATGGAGGAATTCATGTGTTTTTCCTAAAAAACACTGATTATTTCCAACACATCCAGAGAAACAAAGGGATAACCTGGATGTAAAGACATGGATTGTTCCACAAAAGATGGGAGGGAAGGCCTGTAATGATTGCAGTGATGTCCTTCTGTATTCCATATTGCCGTGTTCTTCTCCCTTTTAATCCAACCTTTATCACCGCAGTTCTCCCCTCATGGTGGATATTCCACAGTTAATTCCCAGCTCTCCCAGAATTCCCACAAACTTCCATTTCCAAGCTCTTTTCCCTTTTATCCAACATATATAATCACACATTTCCAAGCTCTTTTCCCTTTTATCCAACATTTATCATCACAGATCTTCCATCCCATGGTGCGTATCCCATGGTCAATTCCCAACTCTCCCAGAAACCAACAAATCTTCCATTCCCTCACTCTTTTCTCTCTCAACCTGGAACTCATCACCGCGGTCCTGCCCTCATGGTGGATATTCCATGGTTAATTCCCAGCTCTCCCAAAATTCCCACAAACTTCCATTTCCAGGCTCTTTGCTCCTTTTATCCAACATTCATCCCCACAGTTCTGCTCTCACGGTGGATATTCCATGGTTATTCCCAACTCTCTCAGCACCCTTCCAAACTTTCATTCCCATTATCTTCTCTCCCGTTACCCAACATTTACCACCACAGTTTTGCCCTCACGGTGGATATCCCACGGCTATTCCCAACTCATTCCCAAACTTCCATTTCCCCTGTGTTTTCCAGAGATGAATTCCAAGATGATCGACTTCGAGACCTTCCTGCCCATGCTCCAGCACATTGCCAAGACCAAGGACACGGGAACCTACGAGGATTTCGTGGAAGGGCTCCGGGTGTTCGACAAGGAGGGGAACGGGACGGTCATGGGAGCCGAGCTCCGCCACGTCCTGGCCACGCTGGGTGAGGAAAACTTCCCTTGGGAATTTCCACCCCTGCCTTTCTCCCTCCCTCTTTCCCCTTCATGTTTAAATATCTCATTCCCATCACCATAAAATGATTCCAGAATTTCCAACCCCACCTATTCCTGTGGTTTTTCCCCATTTTTCTGTGCTTCCAGCCCTCCCTTCTCCTCTCCCTCACTCCTTCCTCTTGTGTTGGATTTCTCTCAATAAATATTAAATTTCCATAAATCACCCAACATTACCAATCCCAACGATTGCCTTGGTTTGTCTCTGTTCTGCTTCACCAGAATGAAGCCTTACAAACCAATAGGCATCAAATATTTAAATAATAAAATTAGATTTAGTTAAATCCATCATGCATACCAAAGATCCCAAATCTGACTTTGGAATCTTCCAGAACCTCCAACTCAGAGGGGAACTGAGTTTTCACTGAGAGTTTTTTTCATCAGGGCTTGGTTAAAACTGGCTCAAACCTTCAAGATTTGGCACTTAGACCAAGCTTATTCTTAGGAAAATGGGTTGTGCCCATAATATCCTGTAGCTTTCCGTATTTTTCCTGTCTTTCTGCATTTTGGATCAAATTTACTCTCAAATTTGGGTCAAGTTTGGAATTTGGATCAAGTTTGCAACTCCAAAAAGAGCTTTTCTCATGGTCAGCACTCCAAACTCCCCCCAGGAGAAATGTCCCCCTCTTCTTTCTCACTCCCATTTGTCTTCTTCAGGAGCTTCCTAAATTCCTAAACCGGGGATTTTGATCCAGGGATTTTGTTTTCCATGCAGGGGAGAGGCTGACTGAGGAGGAAGTGGATAAATTGATGGCTGGGCAGGAAGATGCCAATGGCTGCATCAACTACGAAGGTGGGTGGGGCCCTGAAAGCTTTCTTAAAATATTTCCAAGAAAGTTTAAATCCATGGAAAATCTGGGGCAAAATTTCCAAATTCTAGACAATTCTGAGTCTGTAACTCTTCTGATAAACCCCATCTATGAAAGGTTAATTATGTTTTCCATATGATAACTGATCCTTCTTTCCCTCTTTTTTCCAGCTTTTGTGAAACACATCATGGCTAACTGAGCCCAGGTGAGTCTCCTCTGCCCTTCTCCTGGATTTCCAAATCCTCATTCCTTCAGGATTGACTGGAAACCTCCAAGAAAAAAATATTTTCCATGTGTATTTACAAAGCTCTGCTCCCAAACTCCTAAAAAAAGCAAGGAAACAGAATTGAGCTAACGAGAGAGGGGGGAAAAACAGAAGGAAAAGAGATAAGAAGGAATCAGGAATGTTTCCACCACTGGCAGTATAATTAGTGGCTTTCCATAAATCCGGCCCCCACCATCTCCTGACAATGGATTGGTTTTCCAGGAAGAGGCCGGAGCTTTGTCCAACATGTCCAAACCACAGCTCCACCCAGGGCATCTCTGTCTTGCCCTCACAAGGAGCTGGGCTTTGTTTCCAGGATTTCCTGGGCAGGGCTTATCCCAGTTTTACTGGAAAAGGTGCCCGCTGCCTTTATCTGGCATTCCCTGGGTTTGCTCCCTGCTCAGATCTTGGGGGAGGAGTTGACCAATCCATCTATTCTGATATCCCGGGAAAAGCGGCACTCAGATTTGGTCTGGTTGCTTTGGCTTTCCTTTGTTTGTTTTTAGTCTTTTCCCATGGCTCTGGTTTATTTTTAGGCCTGGCTTTGGTTTGGTTTTGGAGCTGACCTGGCTGTGCTGTGGTGACTTTGGTTTCTGAGTTAAGTAGGAGTCGCATCCAGGTTTTTCAGGAATTCTGTTCCAAGATGTAACTTTACAAAATATAAACAAGCTAAAAAAACCCCCAGATTTGGTTTGGGGTTTTTCCCCCTTTATTTCTATTTTTTCTCTGTTAGAATCCATTTTTTTTTCCCATTAAGGCATTTACCTTTTGAACTTGGACTTTTCCAACTGGTTCCCAGTTTTTGATACCAAAGATCAGGAGCCTTGGTGAAATCCCAATCTGTAGTCCCTGCCTGTTGTTCAGGGATGTTTTCAATCCTTAATCCAAACCCATTGGAAAATCCCATTCCAATGGAAACTAAGGTCAGCCACCAGAGAAGACAAGTGAGCACGGAAAGATGGGAAGCTGGAAAACTGGAACAGGATTGGAAAGAAATTCCGAGGGTCTTTGATGGGTTTGTAAAGGGGGCTGGGAGCTTGTGATTCCCGGGAAACCAACATTCCTGGGATTTGCCGATGAGCCTCGGTGGTGTCACCCAGTGGTGGCCCTCCACCCCTGCTGAGGGGCTCTTGGAATGATAAGGGAAAGACAAATGGAATGTCCACCCTGGAAGGAGCGAAGATCCTTTGCCACAGGATCTGAACTCGGTGGGAATCTGGAGCTGAGCCCAAAAATTCAGGAACGGCTCCGTCTCCTGTAGTAGTTTTTAAACTCATATCTCTTTAAAATACTATTCCTACCCAAAATCTAAAACTCTCTACCAGGAAACAACCTTACAACTACAGCTTTTACGCAAGACTCTACACTAAAAAAACTTTTTACACAAACTTTGACACCTTAAACTCTTTACCTTCAAAACTAATATATGAATATACATATTACAATATACAACATATGCAATAGACGATATTAGAATAAAAATCTTTTAGCAACTAACCACTACTCCTCTCTCTTTAAAAACCTAAAACCCAACTAAAACTCAACAAGGGCCGGGGATAGATGGGGGGAAGATAAATTTGCATCTCTGTATCAGCATGAAACTGGGCCTTTCCTTTTCTCCCAATTTCCTGAGGGAATTGGCACTATTTCATATGGAATTTTCATACCATATGGATTGGCTCCAGGTGTTAGGGACTGCTTCCCATGTTTTCTCCATCCCTGAGCATGGCACTGTGGGATTGGGATGATTCCTGGTGTTTTGGCAGCTCTTGTTGATAAGCTGAGAATGATTCCTGGTGGAATTCTTTGTTCCTTCTTTTTTCCTCTAATTCTTAAAAAATATCTTTATCTTTCAGGACAAGATAAGTGCCAAGAATTCCAGATACTGGCCTTGGATTTCCATGTGCTGGAATTTCTCCTTGTTTTCCAGCCCAGATTCCCATTCCAGAGCTCCAAAACTGTGCCTAAATCCCTGAAGATATTTGGATATTTTTATTTAGTTTGACTTGTTCCTCCATGGGAAGAGGGTGGATCCAGCGGAGATCCAATGGAAGAAACTGGAATGTGAATTATGAATCCCTGGGAATTTTAGGATGAAGGATATAGACAGAAATACAAAATTGAGGAAAAGGGACGAATTCTTTTCATTAATAAATTGATTGATTATGAATAAAATGATTGATGCCTTTCTCCATCCCAAACTTCACCCTTCCCCTGTGTTTATGGGACACCTTTATAAATCCCAAGAATATCCTTCAGCCTTAGAGAAAAACTGTGGAATTCCTGGAAATTAGTGACAAACAGAACCTTGCTGATGTTTTTTCCTCTGCTTTGGATCATGGAAGATTAGGGATATAAAAGCAAAAACGTCCCAAACTAAAGCAAAATTTGCTAAAATCCATCTTTTCTCCATGAGGATTCCTTCCCATTACAATAATTTACCTTGGAAAAAAGGAAAAGTCTTCCCTAAAAGGAAATTGGAAGTTGTTCTAATGAACACATTTTGGTCCTGGAGTTTTTGCAGTAAAAAATGGGATTTTCCATGTCTTTATTTCCTCATTGTTTCTCTGTCCATGTGAGGGAAGGGGAAAAGGGAAAGAAATCCTGAGAAAAACGTCAGCAGAGGCCAAGGAAAGTTGAGAAGCACGGAAAATCACATGGATTAGGAGAGCTCCTTTCCTGGGGAATAATAATTGAAAAAGTAAGGGGGAAAAAAATTCTCTGGGGCTGGAAAAAGGAAAAGCCAGGAGCTTGTAGAGTATTTTAGGGAATGCCAAAGAACCTGGATATGCAAAAGTCCCGAAGAAGAAGGGGCTGTTAAAACAGGGAAATTCCGAGTTTAATGGAATGATCAGTGGAACATTGGAATTCCGGGGTACGAATGGATGAGAATGAGTGAGCAGGTCAGGTCCTTCCCACAGAGGATGGAAAAGAGAGCACAGACTGACCCCTTCCCTTCCCTTCCCTTCCCTTCCCTTCCCTTCCCTTCCCTTCCCTTCCCTTCCCTTCCCTTCCCTTCCCTTCCCTTCCCTTCCCTTCC